CCCACGTACCATGGAGCAACTGAGCCTGTGCTCTAGAGCCTGGGAGCCACAATTACTGAGCCCATGTGCTGAAACTACGGAAGCCAGTGTGCCCTAGAGCCCGAGCTCTGCAACAAGAGAAGCCACTGCAATGGCTTCTAGAGACCAGAAGACTAGAGACTGGCCCCCTTTCACCACAACTAGAGAAAAGCCCACACAGCAACGAAGACCCAGGACCAGCCAAAAATAAACGAATAAAACTGCATTAAAAAAAAGAAAACTGAAGTGGTATTTGAACCACTATCCACAGAAGGTGAAACAGAACCTGTGATTTGCACCTAAGGAGATTCAGCATTTTCCAGAGGATGGCACAGAGGACCAGAGTCGACACAACATAATGGCAAGCAATGTACAGGACACAATTTAAAATCATTTGCTATGGAAAAAATATGGAAAATATGACCATTTTTCAAGGGAAAGGACAACCAAAATGTGCCAACTTCAAGATGACCCAGATATTGAACTGAATCAAAGAACTGAAAACATTGAATATAACTATGCTCCAGAAGGTAAAGGAAAACACACCTGAAATTACAAGATAAAAATGCTCAGCATATAAACTGTAAGAAAGAGCAAACAGAAATTATAGAAATGAAAAATACAATATATGGAATAAAAACTTACTCAGTGGGCTCAAGAGCAGGCTCAAGTGCAAAAAGTCAGTAAACTTGAAGACAGATCAATAGAATTTATCCTATCTGAAGAATAGACCAAAAAAAAAAAAGGTCAGGAGGAAAAACAACAACAAAAAAAGTCCTCAAACAGACCTGCTGGATAGTAACAGAGAGTCCGGCATACGTGTGACTGGAGTCTCGGAAGGAAAGAAGAGACCAAAGAAGAAAAGTATTTAAGAAATGACGGTCAACAGCTTTCTGAATATGGTGACAGACCTAAATCGTTATAGATTCAAGATTAGAGCACCTCAAACCTCTAGAAAAACAAACCACACCACAGTAAACAACCAGTATGCGTGAGTATGTGGTGAAACTGGAACCCTAGTACACTGTTGGGGAACATGCAAAATGGTGCAGACCCTATGGAAAACAGCTTCTCAAAAATTTTAAAATAGAAATTCTATGTGACCCAGCAATTCCACTTCTGGTATACTCTAAAGAACTGAAAGCAGGATCCTGAAGAGATATCTGTACACCAGTATTCACTGCAAACTTATTTACACTAGCCACTAGATGGAAGCATATATGGTTAACCAATAAGATGGGAATAAATACTAGTTACCTCAAAGTGTTATCCTAAAGATAAAAGAGTTAATACCTGTAAACTACCACCACATGGTAACTGCTATAGAAAAATTTGCTATGATTATTATCGAAACAGACTGTTTTAAACTAACACACAAGACAAATTTAGCATAACCAGAGATTAGAGCGAAAAACACAAAAGCCATGTTAGGATGGAGTAAGGGGACATGACCACAGATAAAACAGATCTCTTGAAGCTCTAAGATAATCTCGGCAGGGGGGTGGGGGGGGTCCTCAGCTGTTAGCAGGAGGCCACATGGCTGTCTGAGTGTCCTCATGACACAGCAGCTAACCTCTCCCAAAGTGAGCAATCCACAAGGCAGGGCATGGAAGAAGTCACAATGCCTTCTAAGATGCATCTCTGAAGGAACATATTATTATTTACAAGCTCAGTCAGCCTGTACCTAAGAGGAGGGGAATCAGGATCCACCAGGGAAAGGAGGAATATCAGATAATTTATGGACACATCTTAAACTACCATGGATATCAACAAAATACTAAAACCAAACAACCTAGAACCAGTAGTTCTCACACTATCTAATAGATATTGCTGAATTTCTCTTGAAAACGTAAACTACCACTGTCCTGTGAGTTTGCCTGAGCACAGAGTCGGGGACCCTACGCTCCTTTCACAACACAGTGCAACCTCCCAGGTCTGTGTTTAGTGCAGTTTTCCTGACTAGACTGAAAAGGAGGGAGGATGCTTTCTGTTTTTGGAATGGCTTGACAGGACCCAGAACACATTCCAGGAAAGCTGAATGACTCACCATAAACACTCATGCCAGGGAACCATAAAATTTTTTGCTGGAGGAGGCATGCAAGAAACTCTAGCTTCACAACAGCCATTCTATGGCACTGGAACTGGTTAGTGTCAGCTGCTAAGGCTGAAGTGACGGAGAGAGGCTATAAACAGACCACTGAGCCTGAAGCAGACTGCTTTACTTCCTAAAGAAGTAAATATCGTGCATCAAGATCTGTTGAACTGTGTCGCGCTAATGGTTATATCCTTTCTCTTCCCAGCTGATCAGTCAGTATCTTTATATATAAAATAATCAAGAAATATAAAGCAAATTCATACCTTTTAAATCTTTATATTCTGAAACAATATCAGACCCACAAAACAGGTGTAGAGTTCCCATATACCCTCCATTGATCCTCCCCTATCAGCATCTTGCATAACCAGGGCACAATGATTACAACCAGGTGGTTAGGACCAATACAACACTATTAACTAATTACAGACCTTTACAAACTTTGCCAATTATCCCAATAATGTCCTTTTATGGTTCAGAATCCAACTGAGGGTTCCATCTTGAATTTTATTATCATATCTCCTAAATCTCCTCCAATCTATAACAATTCCCAAGTCTTATCTTGTCTTTCATGTTGCCAGTAATTCTGCGGAACGTCCCTCAACTTGGGTTAATCTGATGCTTTCTCACAATTAGATTGAGGTCATGCATTTATGGCAAGAATCTTACAGAAGTGACTGAGACTTTGTCACTGGGTCAGATCAAGCACACATTTTACTTTTTTGAACAAGATATGATTTAAGAAAATTTTCATTATGTCCAAATACCTTTTAAATACTTGGTATATAATGCCTATTGTATATTCCTCAACATGGGCTAAAATTCTTAAAACAATAACAGAATTAAAGTTGTGCTAGAAAAAAAATAAAATAAAGTTGTGCTAGGACTTCCTTGGTCGTCCAGTGGCTAAGACTCTGTGCTCCCAATGCAAGGGGCATGGTTTGGATCCCTAGTCAGGAAACTAGATCCCACATGCTACAACTATAGATCCTGTATGCCGCAACTAAAACCTGGGGCAATGAGGTAAACAAATTAATTAATTAAAAAAATTAAGTTGTGCTTATTTTGAATTTTAAGAAACATCAATTACAAAAGAATTTCAAATGAAAATGTGAGGCTTAGGATGTCAATCTAAGAATGTAAGTACTACGCAAACAGGAATTTATTCACTGCTATATCCCTAGTACCTTGCAAAGTGCCTGCCCCTCAGCAGTTGTGATATTAATGGAATAATTTTGAAGAAACAGAACACCAGTAGATCCATAAGATGATTTTGCCAAACCCACAAGTGGGGAGAAGGTTCAACCATTTAAAACACAGCTTTTACCCTATTTATACACTTGTTTACAAGAGCCTATTTCCAACCTCCCTCAGCTGCAGGCAGCCATAGGCAGTAGTGCTTCCAGGTGTCATGTAACACACAGGCTTTTTAGGTAGTTTCAGCTGCCGTGAGCCCAAATTTAGGCAATCACACCGATGCCCACCCAGGCAACTCAGCAGGACACTGGGCAAGACACAGAAACCTGAACAGGTCCACAGATGCCACCATCTCCTTGCAACCCTTCAAGTGAAGTGAAAGTCACTCAGCCGTGTCCAACTCTTTGCGACCCCAAGGATTATACAGTCCATGGAATTCTCCACGCCAGAGTACTGGAGTGGGTAGCCTTTCCCTTCTCCAGGGGATCTTCCCAACCCAGGGATCGAACCCAGGTCTCCTGCATTGCAGGCAGATTCTTTACCAACTGAGCCACTGGGGAAGCCCATGAATACTGGAGTGGGTAGCCTTTCCCTTCTCCAGGGGATCTTCCTGACTCAAGAATCGAACGGGGTCTCCTGCACTGCAGGCGTACTCTTTACCAACTGAGCTATCCGGGAAGCCCTGGAACCCTTCAAAGATAGACTTTATAAAAGAAAGTAAAGACGCCCTAAGTTCTACCACAGGTATCTTAGGAGGTGCCTGATTTACCAAAGCCACCAAAAAGTCTGGCTTTGCAGCTGCTCACTCCTCAAAGCAAACTTACAGCAGGGATCAAACCACGGCGATGAATTTTTTGAACAAAGACATAATTCAGCAGACTTTTCACACAGCCAATCACTTCTGCAAGTAACTCATATCTCAATGTGTGGGTATGCTCCTTACCATATGGTATCAGTCTTGATTATTATTTTTTTAGTATGAAAGTGTAACACATTTATAGGAGACTTGTAATTCTCTTGATTATTAACAGCACAATTAAATTTAAAATTTGCTCTTTTGTAGTAGCAGTTAGGCAAATACTAAGTGAAAATGCAATTTTGAAATGAACTTTTGAAAATGATCTTTTTAAGTTTACTTAACTACCATATTTACCCAAATTCTACAAAATATATGTGCCACAAAAACAGTAACATTAAACAGTTCAATGCACTTAAATTCTAAAGACAGCTGGTCATCCTTTGATTTTAAAGAAAGAATATTCTTAATTTTTTCAGTAACTGTTACTTCTGAATTCAGTTCTTACAGACCAGGAAAAATATTTTGGCAGCTAGGGTTAAATTTTAACCAGTTGAACAGCAGCAGGACTTTCTCTTAGTGGAAATAAATTTTTTTCCTACATGTGCTCTCACATTTATAACATACCAGTATATGAAAAGCTATATGGAGAGATATTTTATAAATTATAAGAATATTGTAGTTCCTCAAATATTTATGATTTTTTAGCCAGATATTAAACAGAAGTGTCCACAAAGTACTACCTAATGACTATTTAACTAGTTTATGGTCACCACTAATTCATAAGAAGTATTCTACTTCCACTAAGCCACAAATATTTCAAAGTGACACACCATAACCTTCTGCCAAGTGCTCATGTGCCGGGAGTTTTGAGTCCCCAGCCAGTCAGAGGCTCACCTGACAGGTCCAACTCCTCGGTGGAAGACAAACTGGCCAGACTCCAGCTGTCACTGCGGGCCGCCAGGACAAACTTGTGAGCATTGATGTGCCTGCTCCCAACCTTTATCTTCAAGTCACTGATGAAGAAAAACACCCACAGGTACAAAAAGAAAAAATGTCATTATAACTAGGTATAGCTGGAATTCACAGCTAATCAGCATGTGAGTACTAACTGACCAACATAAATATGTGAAAGGAAAAAAAAAATTCACTGCAAAAGTATATCTCTATGCTAGCACTGACAGGTCATATTTTTAATGCATTGCTAGACATGTTTCCTATTTCTAACTTCTAGCTTGTAGCTCACATGGGATGCTCTGCTTTCAAAGACATTCCCTAATGTCACCCCCATGATGGTGCAGCTTACAAGTTACAAAGGATAACTAATATTCATATAAAAGTAGAAGAGATTTTATGTAGAAAAAAATCAAGATAAATCATCAGGGAGAAATAGACTAAAAGACTGAAGACTGTGATAAGAGCTCTCAGCCTACCGTGCTATGATGCTCCACACCATATTAATGCTGAAGTAAGGTTAATCCAAAAACTATAAATAAAGTAGCTTTGATAAAACAATCAAGAATATGAAATATGAAACCCAACATCTGGACTCCTGTTCTCATCAGAAACACTTAGACCTAATATTGGCCATTTTTCAACTCAACCATGTATAAAGAAAAGGGGTGACGTACCTTTTTTTCAAACCTGCTTCCATATATATGACATATCATTATATGAAAAGAGCTTTCCGAACAGTTATTCATACATAACTCTGAAATGTCAGATGCCAAGGTAGGAGAGCATCTGGGGCAGTTAAACACCTGAGGATGACCCACTAGGCTGACAGAAGCAGGTGCCATATGGCTAGTTGGCAGCAATGCACAGTCACCCATCATCATCCCCTTGCCTGTATGTGTAAGGCTTTCTACTTGCATATTTCCCTTGAAAATAACTTGTTAGGTTGGAAAGCCTTTAGAAACTAAATACATAAAAACTATTACGTGAGAAAAGGAAGAAGAAAGAAAATTTTACACAAATTAACTCATGTGCTTAAAAGGAGACACAAACAAGAATATGGTTTCTATATGATGCTTGATGCAGACACATTTCACCCCACAAAAGCAACATCTAGAACGTACATTATAATTATGTGAGCATATCAACAATTCTAGCTCTATTAAAGAACTAACCAAGTTGCAACTAATTATCTTAGATCAAAATAGGGTATTTATTAATACTGTTAACACAGAACACTATTCATAAAGAACAGAATTGACATTCTATTTAAAGCAGAACATAAAACTGTCTCATATCATATCCTGTGATATGGTTAAAAAAATATAATGAAAACAAAGCACAAATAACTTTTAAACTCTGAATGTATTTACAAAGTATTACATTCTAAGAACATAAATGAACAGTCACTGCTTACTATTTCTATCACGTATCTTGAGTTCAGCCACAAAATTATAAAAATGAATGTGTCTATAAAATTCCTACTATTATTCATGAATGTCAATCCAAAGTTTTTTCTCTTTTGTAGTCTAATATCCCAAAGAGATGGAGAGGGAAATGGCAACCCACGCCAGTACTGCTGCCTGGGAAATTTCATGGTCAAAGAGGAGATTGGTGGGCTACAGTCCAGGGGGTCGCAAGAGTCAGACACTAAACAAGAATCCCAAAGAGAAATAAATATAAGAATTTCACTAATAGTCTCCAATAGTAATAATTTTTAAAAATATAATTCAAAAATGGAAACTTGGGACAGGTCAAGTCTTTGAAGACTCTATGCAGAAACAACTGGGAGGCTAGCAATCTTTTAAAAATTTTTCATTCTAGTCTTTTAAAGGCACTTCCTTTTAAAATATGGATACAAGGATGTTGTCACTGGAGAGGAAGCATAAAGAAAGAGCTTCTTGCTAGAGTGTCTTAATCAAACACTTAAACAGGAAAAATTATGTTTGGTTGTAAATAACTACAAAACGACTAACACTTTCACTTTCAACCAACATTTTTTAGTATCTTATGAGATAAAAGCCTTCTCCTGAACTTTAACTAAAGAAAGTGAAAGTGAAGCCACTCAAGTCATGTCCAACTCTTTGTGACCCCATGGACTGTAGCCGACCAGACTCCTCTGTCCATGTGATTTTCCAGGCAAGAGTACTGGAGTGGGTTGCCATTTCCTTCTCTAAGGGATCTTCCTGACCCAGGGATTGAACCCTCATCTCCTGCGTTTCAGGCAGGCGCTTTACCCTGTGAGCCACCAGGGCTCCTAAAGTTTAGCTAAGAAGTGCACCAATTTCTTCCACATTGCTCAATTTAAAAATTTTAACACTAAATTTAACTAAATTTAACACTAAAAGAAATACTAAAAACAACAAAAAAAATTTTAACACTAACTCTCCAGTTACTCTACTAAAATGCACATAAAAACACTAAATTCTTCAACAAAACACATGTTCATGGGACATGTTTTTTTTTTCCTCCCTTATCTTGGTAAAAGAGAATCTGCTTTAGAAATTGATATCCCACTTTCAGTTATTCCATTTCAAAAGCTAAGTCGTCTTTAAAGTCTCCATTCCCCATCTGATCACTGGTTGTAGATAACAAAGGTATTTAGCCTTCTTTTGATAAAAGGACAGGTTTTAGAAGCGGAAGAGAGACCCACCAGAACCCTGGGACCATACCACAGCTGACCAGGTAAAAAGTTGCCTGAAGAGGAAACTGCCCAGTCTTATTCCCACTCTCTTAGAAGGACTACAGTGTAAGAATGCAGTCAACTGTTATGTAATAGGGAAAGTAAATGGTGGGAATTCTAACGGGAAAGAGCCCTGGATAGTGAGAGAGCTGTGTCGGCTTCCTGGAGCCAGTGAGAACAAAGTTTTCACTTATCCATGGGAAAGAGAGGAGGAGGAAAAAAAGAGAAAGACAGTGACCTATATTTTACAAGTAGCTGCTGTCCTTTACTCTGAGTGTGTAACTCCCATTTTTTGGTATTCAATTTTTCTTTTCTTTTAGAAACGATTAAGATGGTAGATGGCAGTTCTGGGTTTTGATCTATTTTAAATGTCTTGATTTATTTCCAAATTTTACTAAATCATCTATTCCAATCTTGCCTCCCTAGTAGGCACATCCTTCCAGACACATTCATGTCCATGTTTCTCTTCCACAACTGCAGCCATCATCCCAGTTCAGTCCTTCATCACTTCTGGCCTGATTCTGCTCTTGTTCTCTTTAAATTTCGCCTACATGATGTTACCAGGCTAATCTGCCTGAAACACCACTTTATGACAATCCCGTAAACTTAAAAACCCTGTTTCACACTTCCTAAAGGATCAAGTCCAATTTCCTCACCTTGGCATCCCAATGCAACCCACCCTACCCTTCCCACCACTCCAGTGCTCCTCTGCATGGGTATGTACCCTAAAATGGCCCCCTCCTCTAAATCCTCCACACATTCCCATCTGTGAATCTGCTCGCAGCCACTCCCTCTACTAGTGATATTACTGTTTTTATTAAATCCTACTCAGCCTTTAACATTTACCACAAAACTCACTTAGAAACAGTAGCTTAAAAACTGAGCACTTACTATATGCCAGGCACTGTTTTTCTAAGTGCTCAAACAGTATTTATTAATTTAATCCACACAATAACCCTAGCTCAGTTCAGTCGCTCAGTCGTGTCTGACTCTGTGTGACCCCACGTACCGCAGCACGCCAGGCCTCCCCAACCATCACCAGCTCCTGGAGTTTACTCATGTCCTTTGAGTTGGTGATGCCATTCAACCATCTCATCTCAATAACCCTGAGGTAAATAGTATTCTTATCCCCATTTTATAGATTAGGAGCCTGAGGCACATCATACAGTTCCAGGTCACATAGCCAGTAAGTGACCAGCTGAACTGTGTGACCACAAAGTCCACCCTCAACCATCATGCTACACTAACCAGTAGCCCCAAGAGGCCTTCTTTGACCAGCCCAAGAGAAAGTGACGTCTCCTCCCCCGAATCCCTGGACTTGCAAGCTAATTCCTATCTGTACCAGGGATGCAATCACCAGGACACCCATACTCTGTGCTGGAGATAAGCAGAAAACAAAAGAGAAAGCCAAAGGGCTTCCTTCCCCAAACCGGCCCCATGCCAGAAGCTCACCTATACTGCTCCTGCTCGTAGAGGTCGGCCACGATCGTCAACAGGCGGCTGATGAAGGACTCACTGCTGCTTTCTTTCTTTGCTTGTGCAGCTAAAAGAGTGCATCTCTTCTCTGTCTCAGCCAATTTCCTCTGCAGCTTGACATACTCTTGTCGGAGAAGCATCAAGTGCTTCTCCAACTTGGCCACCTCCTCTGCAAGGGAGACAAAGAATCAAGTTTACCACGGTAGGTGTAAACAGACAGCACTCACTCCTCTCTCATCCCACAGCTAGGATGGGACGACCAAAATGACCACAGCTGACGCTCGAACAACACGGGTTTGAATTGTGTGGGTTTACACACACACGGATATTTTTCAGTAGTAAATACTATACAGCAGCGGCCCCCAAGCAACTCCATCTGAGGTGGAGCTGATGTAATAGTAATAAAGTGCACAATAAATGTAATGCGTTTGAATCATCTGAAAACCCTCCTCCATCCCTCAGTCCATGGAGTAGCTGTTTTCCGTGAAACTGGTCCCTGGTGCCAAAAAGGTTGGGGACGGCTGTGATACCATCTGCAGCTGGTTGAATCCAAAGATCTGGAAGCATCAAGGTCATGGAGGGCTCTAAGTTACACGCGAATTTTCCACTCTGCCAGAAGGTAAGGCATTCCTGGCCACTGATGTTGTTCAAGGGTCAATTGCAGTCACATGATGTTCCTACTATTTCTTACTGACACTCCAACAAGACCGAGAATGGTGTTGTTTCAGAGTGCCATCACGGTGCAGGGATTTCTTCTCAATTTCCCTGAAGATCAGTTTTCAAACTGCTAGTAGCAATAAGTAACTTCTACATGTCACATGCTGTTCTACAAGTTTTCTGTGAATTCTCACGATGACTCAAAGAGGCAGGTACTACTATGACTAGCCACTTTACAGAGGAGGGCACTGGGGTACAGAGAAATTAAGAATTTGCCCAAGGTCACGAAGTTGGTGAGACATGTGGGGCTGGGATAACAGCCCAGGCATTCAGTGGTCTATCAGCCACTATTCCACACTACCTGACACCTACCCTTCCTCGGGAAGGCTCAGGGCAGTCAATAACCGTTCAGATGGAAGCAGGTCATATCCCACAGGTATGCTGAGGCAGATTCTAAAGGTTGAAAACCACTGTTTTTGACTCATTCAACATTTGCTGAGTATCTGTGAGGGGCCTGATAGTACAGTACTTAAGCAAAATCAGACATATTTTTCCTCAAGCTTTTCGTTACTTGGGAAAGTAAACGTTTACAATTATAACAACTGCAACAAGTAAATGAAAAACTACAACTCAGATCAGTACTAGAAAGAACAGAGCTTTAAGAACCTATAATAAAGAAATTTTTTTAAAAAGGAAATTTGACTTAGGACATTAGGGAAGGCTTCTCTGAGGAAGCAAAGTCCAGAGACTTCTCTCTTACCTGCAGTCTTGGTGGGGATTTGGGCAACCATGCTTAAATCCTATCTGTGGAACCACAGTGCTGCTGCGATCATCCTCTGGGCCACAGACCATTCACCCGTCTACTCCCCACCGCAGAAACTCCCAACCTGGACACAGCCCTCAGGGCCCTCTCCTACCTTCTCAGACAACGTCTTGAGAAAACTGAGCAACTGCCAACAACCCCCACTGTACCAAAAGCTACTCCCATCTACCCCCTGCCTTCTCAGAAACTGCAGCTCCCTCCTACGCTAGCTTACGCACTCCACTCTGCTCCAAACCCTTCAGTCTCCCCAGGTCCTTTGCTTTATCGTCAACCACCCCAGCTCCAGCAACTTCAACCTCTTTCAGCTGGAACCCTCTCATCAGCACAAACACCAGCCTAGGTCTCTTATCAACAGGAACACAAAACTCTCCTTCCACACATCTGCCCAGCTCTGTCCTTCCATCTCTAGCTACCACACACATTTCCTCACACAGTCACCCTGCCATTCCCTCCCTGTGTCCCCACTACCCCCTTGAAGACCCTCTCATTGATGACCTACTAACTGCCAAGTCTAAGACACTCGCCAGTGGTTCTCCTCTCAGAACTCTACAAGACAGCACGGGACACTGCTGTTCATCCTGCTTTTTTCTTCTTTTAACGACCACTGTGCCACCTTCTCTCCAATTCTGGTGCTCTGTTACTTTCACATGCTTCTCTGCACATCCCTCCAAACCCTCCACCACTGATACTCCCCAGAAGGTCTACCTTTGGCCTTCTCAACTATGCCATCTTCCAAGGCAGCTATATCAGATCCTTGGTCTGTGGTTAAAACCAAAATCTAGCGCCGGTGATCAGTAGACCCTTCTCTCTATGCAGATCTCTCTTCTTAGCCTCAAGCAAATTGCTCCTCTTTGTATGGTCCCTGTATTAATAAATGACACACCATCTATCCCAGTTACCTGCAGAAGAAATGTGGGAGTCATCTTGGATGTCTCCCACTCACTTGTATGGCTCCAACCCTACGCCAGCTCAAAAAGACATGTTTCCATTTAAAAAACAGGAATAAGTGGTACATGAGAGTGAAGTTATTATGCAACTATTAATGTTTTCAAAGAAATATGTAATACTAAATATGCACATTCAAATTATAGGTAACAGAAAAAATGAGACTGTGAAACTAAATATATTTTATAATTTCAATTTTATTATAAACAGTCAAATATATGAGGAACAGAATGACAAACACCACAAAATATCAGATTTGTTTTCTTTGCACTTTCTTGCACATTTCATGCATTCTATAACAAATGTGTTCTGCTTTCATAGTTATGAAAAAGTATTTAAAGAGAAACTTGTTTAAATACTTAAATACTAATAGTCTTATCTTCATACATACAGGAGGGAACTTTTTTCCCCTTATGTAGAAGATCCACATTAAATATTGCCTGGGGTCAAAAAACTAGATATTATTTCAGGTGTAAATCAGCATTCCTGGGCAAATAAAGTAGAAGGCACTTGCAAGATGAAAATCTGCTTACAGCTGCTGATCACTGTGCTCATGAGTTATGTATCAAATGAGAATTCCTATAGCTAATTTTTTTTCAAAATACTGCGATTTATTTAGCCTACTAATATTTAAGCCAAATATTGCTTAAAAAAAAAACCCACTTGCTAAAAGAAAACAGTACTTACAATGATCCTATTGAAATATTTTTCAAATCTTAGCATTTATAACCACAAAATTCCTTTGGCAGAACTCATATCTACACTTCTATTCTGGTGTGACAAATTTACAGGTCACTAGTTTTGAAGAGTTCTTTATAGTCACTCGGACTAAAGAGCCAAGAAATTGCAATTATTTACCCAAAACAGAGATGCACAAAGCAGTAAGTTCATGTGATTTTACAAAATGTATAGTTATTTTTCCCACAGAGAAAGATGAAGTTGATGGCCTCTTTAAAGAAAAACTGGCACTGATTTTCTAGATGTGGTAACAGAAAATGTAAAACGACATGTGAATTAGGAGTAACATTAAATTTTGTCTAAAAGTTGCTGTCACTCGGAGCAAAATGAATCTATGGGGTCATGATAATGCTTCTCTTGGGAGGAACGGCAGGAGAGTGGTAACTGGGAGAGCACAAGAGGGGTGCCCTCTGGGTGTTAAGATTATTTTTTTGTTGTTAACTCAGTGGTGGTTACATTCTAAATACACACATTCAAATTATAAATAATTAATAGTTTTATTTTAGTAATTCATTGGGCTCATGCTCTGCCCTTCTTTGCATGTATCTTACGCATCAATTAAGTTTTAAAAAACTGATATACACACTTGTAGTAGTTTCTGGAGTTTCAAGTGATGGGAATATAAATCCATTTAGTAACTAGCTATGGGGACCATGGGCAGTTCACCTCTCTGAGCTTCAGTTTCTTTATATGTAAAATAAGAGGGGGGATCTTCTACTCGGTGCTGCTGTGAAAATTAAATAAAATTACTATAACTGGCACATGCATGCAAAATTGTCAGCATTTCCTCCACACCCCTTTTATGCTTTCCACAATTACATAATTATCGGTTAAATAATTTAAACTATTGTAACTATTTACACAACATTTTTTTGAATCATGAAAAACAGAATGAGCTTCAAAATTTTACTGACCAAGGAATTAAGACTGATCAATTAAAATCACAGCAAATCAATAGGAGATTATCAGAAAGATAAGGTGATGAACAAAAGGAAAAACAGAAATAGAAAAACACTGCTGAATAATGAAAGAGCTATCAAGGCTTTAAATACTTCATCACCTCATATAACAAGTCTGCACTGACAATTCCCAAACCAAAGAGTAAAGCCTAACATGCTTTTAAAAATCGTCATTAGGGAATTCCCTTGTGGTCCTGTGGCTAGGACTCGGTACTTTCACTGCCATGGCCTGGGTTCAATCCCTCGTCAGGGAACCAAGATCCTGCAAGCTATACAACAAGGCAAAAAAAAAAAAAAACCCTCATTATTATTAATTTGGAAGAAGTGCAAGTTAGTTAGGCTGCATGTTAAAAAAAAAAGCTCTGCAAGAGGCAACTCCTAACCTACCACAGGAAAAAGTCAGTCAATGTCTATCATTGATCCGTCTAGAAATGGCAGTATTATCACTTAGAGGTCAACAAAGAGGGGAAAGTAGTCTGGGAAGTGGGTTCTGAGGGGTGGCAAAATTTTATTTTTTAAGTCTTGTAATATTATTTGAGCTTTAAATCGATGTGCACTTACAAAGCAAATATATTTTATACAAATTTTAAAGATTATCGAAAACAATTACAAGTATGAGGGAAAATAAATAATTTTCTAATACCCAAGGGTAAGGGTTTTTACACATCACAAAACTTTAGGAAAGGAAGGAACCTAAAGATCATTTCTTCTGGCTCAATTCCCAGACAATGAGCTGAGGAGCACAGAGGGGACTGGCCCATGACCCCTACCCACTTCTTGCCTTAGACTGCTCCATGAGAACATTACTCCCAGACTGGCTGCGTAAGAATCACTTAGGCAATCTGAACTAAAGAGAAAGCACCCAAATTCAGCAGATCTGGAGTGGGATCACAGGATATGTACAGTGCTTTTCAGATGACCCCAGGTATGGGAATGACTGGCTTGGAGAAAAACCTCAGCCACCAAGTCACACACAGTTAGACTGCTTTGGGAATACTACTGTTAAGATAGAAGATCAACAGAATTGTAATTTTTTTGTTCATTCAT